ATGAGAGAATGATGTGTGGAAAGAGAGAAATGGAGATTTACATAGGATACAGAATGGATCTAGGAGAAGATATAGGGTGAGGGTGAGGGAGAGGAGGCAAAGGGCAGAGGCACTGAGGGTCATGGGAAAGGGGTAAGGGAGAAGGGACAAAAACCTGTATAGGGAACAGATAGGTGGAAAGGCTGAGAAACAGGAATTCAGGAAGAAAGAATGAGAAGGGCACACAGAGTACAATAGGTAAGATAAAGGAGTCAGGGAGATGGGAGGGCAAGAAGAAGGGAAAGGGGAGATGTGGGAAAGAATAGACGGGGACAGATAAGAAATTCTGAGAGAAGGGAAGGTGGAGTATAACATGATTAAGATGGCTGGTAAGGTGCAGAGAAAGAGAGACAGAGACTAAGAGAAAGGTGGATGAAGACTGTGAAGAAGGCACGGGGAAAAACACTCACACACAGAGTTAGGAGAGATAGAAACAGATGGGAGTGTTGGACAGTGGGAGGAGGGGAGGACATCAGAGCTACTAAAGAAAGGAAAATATAGTTAGAAAAAGTGAAAGGACTAGAGGAAGAAGGAGAGGAGTAACTGAGAAAGATACAGGGAGATATGGGGAGGGGCAGAAAATAGGATATGGGGTGTGGGGCAAGGAGAGAGCAAGATAAGGTGTGAAGGTAATGGAAGAGAGCTACAGGAATGATTTCATCTATGTTTCTTGAAAATCAGGATCACCAACAGTAATTTAATATCTGAATTAGCAGAGATCAAAGTAGCTTTACATGTAATGTGTTTCAGAAACAAAACTTTATGCAGACTCCTCATTCTCTAAAATTAATCATTTACAAAAAAATTGCAAAGTATGCCCTATATATCTTTACTAATAAACTTTACCCATGAGGGTGCCACAATACAGAATGGCACACACAAGGCAAACTATTTGAGAATTGTTATCAATGGCATTCTCATAAGTGTTAGGTATCACTCTGCATTCTTACTGAGCCACAAAATTAGGCAGAGTTCTGAAGGTAAGATTCAGCCTGTGATGGCACTAATTTTGCAAATCTTACCTGTACAGGAAACCTTGAAAGGTGAGCCCACAATGTGGTAGCCATTGTATTTGATACTGATGAAGTAGTCTCCTGGCACAAGAGGGGTGTAGCGCACCTTATACCCTTCCTCAACTTCTGTACAATCCATTGACACCTTAGACGGACCATCAATTGTCACTGCCAGTGTTCCAGCACCAGCATTACAAGTGTCAACCAGGAAATCTGTCTTCTGACCTGCAGGTAAAAACACATCAAATGTAAGCACATTCTGTTAGCAGCTTTTCATTAATATCACCACATTAATTATCACAGATGTGTAAACTAGAGATTATTCTTTTCAAGCTGGTGAATCTAGACTAATTATACTGGACTGAATTAAAACTGGGTGAGCTATTTACTTTACAAATTGCTAGAAAACTTGGCAGAATAATGTAGACCTACATATTGGGGAAGATATATCTGATCTGCACAAAGTGGGCTCATTCAGCAGCAACTATAATTGGAGAATATTCAGCCACAGTCTTCAAAGGTAGAATTTTCAGTTTGTTATGATCAAATATATAAAAATACATTAAAGAAATGTGCCTCTTCCACTCACCTGTCTTCACATCACCCAACCCATTTCCATGTGCGTTGACTGCCGCTGGGTCTGCGTCCTCTTTGCCGACCTTGATGCGGAATGGTGAGCCCGGGATGTGGACACCATTGAATTTAACATAAATGTTGTTGACACCATTATCTCGAGGCATAAACCGTACTGAGTATGTGTCAGAATCTATCGACTGGATGAAGCAATCATCCTCAATTCCAGATGGTGAAACAATCTAAACAAAGCAAAACAAATTATATGTTAGAATTGTACTCAATTATGTCACTTCTACTTTCTGCAGTGGTCATAATTTCACATTTTTACCCCAAGTCCTATCCAAAAGAACAACAGTCCAATCAGTCTTTGTCTATGCTGCCCAACTGAAAATGTTTCCTATGGCAGAAGCGCATCATGCCATCTATACACATTATTCCCACTTTTCACAAAGTGATAATAAAAATAAATCTCATCATCTGGGTGATCAATACATTTAAACTTGCACTTCAATCTGAATTTATCTAATGATATACAGCATATTTTTGGATCAAAAGACGCGGACATATTTAGTACTTTCACTAAACTAACACATTTAATATTCATTTAACAAAAAATTAGTATCAGCTTTAAATTGTAAATGTTTTAATATAACTGATTAATCAATTAGTTATATTTCTTCTTCCTAAAACATTTCCACTTTATGTGGGTCATCTGACAACCTATATTTGTCTTTTCACACATACTCCCACCCCCTCTTCTCAGTATATTCCCATGGTCTTCCTTCACCTGTGTGACATCTTTCTTAACATGTTGTTCCTATCTTGACTAGTTTCAGAGAGCTAGTCTCCAAAATATTTTTCAACTTAATACTGACATGGACAAACACCCAAGAGGATTTTATAACAGCCATGTACAATGAAAGTTTAAATATTATACAGCACTTTGAAGTTTAATCCAGGAGTGTGAATCCTTTCAAAATATCCTTTACAAATTGAAGCAGGCTAGATAGGGAATATCTGGTGCTGCTGCCATATCAAATTCTGAAAAAAGTCTCTGACCCAGGTGTAACTAAAGACTGACTTCAGGCACAGTAACACACATGTGGCCTCATATTAATTAACAAACGTTTGATGATAAAACTATAATTAACATGGGAAGTGGTTAGCTTAATTAAAAACTACTTTCTCCATTTTAAACCATTATGTGTACCTTAGCATCCAATTCTCCCTTAGCTCCATTCTTTCGCACAAGGAAGGCTGCAGGCTTGTCTGCTTGCACACCTGAATTTGGGAACTGGAACACTTCCAGTTTGTGTGCATCCCCCATTGCTGGGGAAATGAATAGTTTGTAAGGAGAGTCGGGAATGTGCTGGTCATTGAATTTGATTCCCACACGATATTCACCTGAAACAGACATTTCATTTATATGGATTTAATGTAACATTTTAATAATTTTATGTTAAACATTTACCGTTTGTGAAACCTAATCGATATTTTAAATCGTAATGATTTGTATTTTTTGTATTTTATGGCTTATTTCACATCCTACAGTCAGCCTGACTAACATCTGGATCCATGGAATGAATGTGTAAACACATGTGTGTGTGTGTGTGTGTGTGTACTATCTCAAATAGGCCAATGTTTTCTCACAATAGGTCAAAATACTAACCAAACTGCCTAATTAACACTATCCTGCATCAGCGAATTACTATCTGCTTTAGTAAGAAGAAAATCCACATTTTTATCACAGAGTGTATGTACTGGTTTCAAATGAGTGTCAGAATAAATTATTATTTACTTACACAACATTAATTTACTGATCTTTGTAATGGAGAAGTGTTTTGTTTTCTTTGAGGTATGGACTGTTCTCTTAAACATTATTTAGAAAGCTTTGGCTTAAGACTGTTAAATCCTAGATATTTCACATTTTCTATGCAATTCCAGCAGAATGATAAAAATAACTTGAACTAAGTTGCTACTTCACTGTTTCAAAATTCCAACAAACAGGTCATTCAACACGATAGTGTATTATATTTCCAGCTAAAACACTGGACTGCTTTCAATTCCTTGTCTCCCTGTGGGGATAAACTATGAATTCCATATCCCGTCACACCTCTTTCAGTTCTAGCACTAAACTTCAAAAGCGCTAAAGGCACATTTTATACTGCACTACTATAGTTTTAAAACAACCTCAATTCAATTTATAATCATCTTTGTTCATGCTGTCCAATATGTAAGATATGATGAATATTCTAAACAATGTTGTCTGTATGGGAGAAATATGATTATAAATAAATTACATACAAAAATTAAAATTCTTTCTTCCAAGTACAATTTCCTTCCTATTCCGTTACATCATCATAACAGTATTGTAACTTATAAATCCCTCAGTTTACTGATTCTGTCTAATACCAATGCACAAACATTCATATGGATTCATCTAAGATTTTGTCTCATAACAATGCATAAACCTTAATGTGTGCTTTGTGCATCAAGTAGTGATGACTATTCGAGGCAAAGCTTTCAGTCAATGGAACACTAATGAATGCAAATTTTAAGTTATTCTACTTTACTGTTGAGTTCTATTGTTGGCTTTGCAGTTCTACTTGCCACTTTCAATTTTTTTTTCTCCAGTGGAGTAACAGCAGGGATATAAATAACCAGAGTGAAGCACATGACCAAAATAACTGTGCATATATTCCATGCAATGGACAGCCAAGTGCCAGTCCACCCACACTACCTCTAACTTTGTACTGCAAAAACTGACTCAAAGCAAAATGTCAGTGCGTAAGTCCTTATCCAGTCCTTGGTTAGTCCCAATAAAGTAATTATCTAATAATAGATTTGTTTTTAAATTTTTACATCTGATAGCAAGCCAAAACTGGGGGAAAAAAAAACCCTGGCCATTTGGAAGAAAGTTTCTCATACTAAATATAAACATCATCACCACCATCATGGATCAGGCTGTTAAAACTTCTCTGGGTTCATATATAATTCTTTAAATTTCATTTTAAAAAACTTCAAAACATACTTCCAAAGTGTTAAGTTTTGTTAATGTTTACAGTGAGAATCACACAAAAACAAATAAAAAATGCTAACTTATTGACTGTTAAACCAGGTGGGACATATAGTTACCACTACACTTCAAAAGGATAATCACTCAGGAAAAAAGGGATTTAAATCCCTGTACTATGGGGACCACTGGCAGTGGGAGGTTGAACAGTAACAGTCACATGGTCAACGTAACCATGCTTAAGTTGTGATGTACAGCCAATAAAATGTTAAAGAACATAAACATTTAAAAGTGTGAAATGTTATCCTTGATATGATTAAATTAATTAATTTTTGTATTATTCTTCTGTATCATATTTCCTTCAACATATGCCACAGTTTATTGTGCTTTATTATTGCACATTATCGTTAATGTTAATTCTCATTAAAATAACTGTGTCACAAATTAAGATACACACATATACATATGATAAAAATTATCATTTTATATTAGAATTTTATCTAGTACCAAACTTCAGCTCTGTCACCACCAAGTTTCCTTGAGAAATTAACAATCAATTCCATATGGAATTTAAGTGATTTTCTTTTGCAAATACATATAAATATTCACTCATAGTCATACACACACATAGGTGCAATTGACATACACAAACAGCAAGTTAATACAATTTGGTTCATTATTGTGTCCTAGTTCCCCAATCTTCTCACACCTCAGGACCTTCACTGAGGGCATCCAATGAGTAAATGTGTAAAACAATAGTGGACTAAGGCAGTGTGAAGCCCAAATTCAAGATAAGTCTGAACAAGTCTAGCATATTCACGAGTATTTTACCTTTAACCAAAGTAACCATGGTAACCACCTGGATATTACAAAGAAATGTATGTCTTCAGGTAAAAAAATGCTGCTTATTGTTGTCCAATTCTAACTGAAATTAGAATTTGTCAACAAATGTTGGTAAAACACCATAAAATCAGATATGAAAATCTGCTCAGCCATTCTACAGTTCTTTCATACATACAGACACACAGGGAGATAAACTGATTGAAAACAGGCACTGCACAGGATGAAAACATGCCTAAAACTGATCCAACCCTTCAACATCCAAATAGCAGAAATAGAAACAAATTTACCTTGAGGCTGAGTATTATCCAGCTGGATCTCCTGACATACTTTGTACGTGCGGAAAGGCTGAGCTTTGTTGCACTCACCCATCACACGACTCGTGTGGCAACTGTCTGCTCATAGCCAACTTACCTCCATCCTCATGCATGTAAATATAGAAACTGGAGAAAATTATTCTTGGCACAGTTTCTTTTTTGACAATATTGCGTATGCTAAATTTTTGGCTCTGTGCCATGAAAGTTAAAAAAAAATCTGAAAGGAACTTTACCCCTCACATTAACACTACCTGAACCAAACAAAAAAAATATTACGTGAGATCAAGTTTGAGGCTAAAATAAAGCTGCTGGATTCAAGGACAAATCACCCCCTCCTGAGTTCCTACAATCGCAGAAACTCCTTATAAACAAGCCCACACTCTGTTTATATTAAAATGTTATTCTGGTCTGTCTGTGGTATCTGATGAGATGAAATGTTTGTTAGTTTATTGGGTTCATTTACCATAATGTATCACACCATTAACTCCTGCTCAGAACTGTGTAAATAATATTGAGGACAATTCTGCGTTATTTTTAATGTTTGTACATAAGGTGTCAATGACAAAGCTGTATTAACAGAGTTGGCGGGGGGGGGGGATACACAAAGGGGTACAGGTTCCCTAAACCAAGAACTTTGGTTTTAAATGTTTTCATATTCAGAACTTTAGAATTTCATTTACAATTAGATATTAAGAGATTTCTGGGTGCTAAAGTTCACTTGCTGCCAATTTTTCCAGGGACCATACTGCCTCTATCATCAGCAGTGCGAGCACCCAAAACCAGGTTAAATATAAAAGTTGACCCTCTTTATATGCTTTGTACATGGAGGTGAGTGGTGAGCTTCATGTACTGGCTGCTTTAACCCCAGGAAAGAGACCTAGTACTCTCTAGACGAGGCTGGGCAGTAGAGTCTTTAGTCCAATATGTGGTAATTTAAATCTCACTGTTGAAACTATTTCGGAGCCCTTACTTAAACTGCAGTAATGTCTTGAAAAACTACTAGTATTTTGGGAATGGAACCTTCCATTGGTACTGACGGCATATATCGGAAGCACAATAAAAAAAATTACTTGCTTCCTGGGTCCAGATCGTTATTTGGCCAACAGTCAACTAAGTGCAAAACAAATTTAAAAAAAACAGACTGGGACACATGTAAGACAATGTTAACTAAAAGGATGACAACCGGCATACAAGACAGCTGTCAAGAGAAAGCCATCTTCATTGAACTTGAACAAATGTGACAGAGGCTTCAAGACAACAAGAAACTGGGTTACTGTCTGAGAAAATTACAAAACACTGAGGTTATTTAGTATGAGTTAAGATGGCTGGATGACTGGTATGTATTGAACTAAGAACAATTCAGGAGGAAAAGACTGCAGCCTATTTCAAGAATAATCAGGAAATGTAAACATATATGACAGATTTGGTCAAGCTGTATTAGAAAAGGTAACAAAAGCACTCATTACTGGTGTGGTAGACTAGGAATTTCAAAAATCAAAACTTGCACGATTTTTAATACCACTTATACTGTAATCAAATATGTCTGAAACATGTTACTGTACACATTTTTCAGGTCAAGTTAAATGATGCATCAGTTATATTCATAAAATCATAATATTTGCATACCATGTTGTTAATTTTGAATTTCCCAAAATATCAGACAATAATATAATATCACACAGTAAAAACACTCTTTTAGACACTATGAAGGACCTATGAAGATGAAGACCAAGACAGTTCTCAAAATGTTGGCTGATTGACGAAGAAGACTTCCTTCAGTGAACTAGGAAGGAGGTCAGTACAGAAGGAACTCTTTCGTCTCCTTTTGTAGTCCTCTCTGGAGTTCCACAGGGATCTGTTTTGGGTCCTCTACTTTTCAACTTGTTTATTTACGACATATGCCAAGTAATTAATCATTTTCGCTGATGATATCAAAATATTTTGTGCCATTAAATCTCCTAACGAATGCAATCAACTTCAAAATAACATTGACTCTGTACAAAGTTGGTGCACTGTTAACTTCATGAAACTCAATATTAGTAAAACTACAGTAATTTCTTTTTTCAGGAAAACCACTACTTTAATCTTTGATTACAAACTTTTTCAGTCCTCTATAACACATACCGACACTATTAAAGACCTGGGAATATTTATCGACTCTAAGCTCCGATTTCACAACCATGCTGACCACGTAATTTCACACTGTATTAAGTTGCTGGGTCTTGTTCACACATTAAACTTTTTGTTCTCTCCTCCTAATTGCCTGTATATGTTATATGTAACCTTAGTTAGATCCAAGCTCAAGTATGCCTCGGTCGCTTGGAATTCTATTATGACTACTGATGCAAACAAACTGGAATGTATCCAGCAGAAGTTTGCAGCCCTTTCCTACAATCGTTTCCTCCCCCAAGTGCATTACAGCTAAGCTGATGCTTTAGAGTATTTAAAACTCCATACCCTGCGTAAGAGAAGGCATTGTAGTGATGCACTGTTCCTTGTGCAGGTTTACTGCGGCTTTAAATGCTGTGCTTCCCTTCTGGAAGCTGTCGGTCTCCGCATCCCTGCTCAGAATCTGTGAGATTTTTCTATGTTCAGTTTTAGCCCTTTGACCAAAAACAGTCCTTCTGCTAGATGCGCATCAGCTGCTAATGTCGTGTGGAGGGGCTTGGATATATTTGAAACGAAAATTGTCACACTTCTTCACATTCTATAAAAGTATAATTTACTTAATTGATTTAAATTATTTTTACAAATATGATAATATATTTAGTTGCAATTTTCTTGTGTATTAACGTCCTCCATACTAATTGAATTGAATTGAATTGAAATCCCCCAAAATTCAAATATTTGGGAATGACATTAACAATTTAAAATTATATTTATGAAGAAATTAAAGGCAGATTAAATTTGGAAAATTACATTCAGTTCCCATCCCCTACCTAAAAAATATAAAGAATAAAATATATAAAATCTGTTGTTTTGTATGGGTGTGAAACTTGTCAATGATGAAGATACTTTATGAACTCACATTAATAGTAATATTGAGCTAATTTCAACCAGTGTCCTATGGACAGTGGCTAAAATAGTCTGACTATGCTTTATTTGGAATAACTATGGGTTGATTGTAAATACAGAAGTAGAAGCATGTCTGATAAGTTGAAAGTTTAGTTCACAATGAACCAATATCTGTGATAGTTATGAAATTCCAATGTGTTACTTACTACCTCCTACAGCTAGCAAAGCAAAACAGAAATTATCTGTATTACCAGATTTCTGGACCTTGACCATCATTTAGCATTTCAAACAGGTCATAACACTACTGAGTGGAAAGACATCCACTTTCCAAAATGTTATGTTCTATGTGGAATACCAGACAACAGACAAAGTCCAGAAATCCAGCAATACAAATTGTATTATTTCTTCATCAGAACCCTTTATAATTATAGAGACGTTGTGTACGAGCAGTAACAAGACTTTCAGTGTTGTCCAGTTACATACAAACTGGCCAAGAGAGGAAGGAATATGTCTATGGGGATTTAAAGGATAGAATCAAGTTTGATCTAATTATTAATTTTATGTCTTTATATGCAATCACTTAATGAATCAGCATCTCAAACACTGATGACTAATAGTTGTTTCTTGCCCTATCATCAATGGTTCTTCTGTTTCAACAACACAATGCTCTCTCCAGAAGCTCCTTCATTTATTCCAGTTTTAAAATGTAATGTCTTTGTAGCCATGTAACTTTTAAATGAGACTATATGAGATAATTCGTTTTTAACAATTTCTTCACCTTCACATTTCATTATAGTTTAGTTACCAGCAAAGTTCAGATGACACTTTTAAAATCACTCATGAAAAGTGATTCATACACATACGGAACAACAAACCCTGTTCACATCCAATGTGAGCTACAATTAACTGGTTTACTTTCCCAGATAAATTTTTCGAACCTGTCAAAAGTTCTCTGAAGGACAAATTCTTAGAAGAGTTTATCACCAGGGCTTGCCAAATCTACCATTATATGGCCTGCATAACCTATGTTTTGTCTGAATAACTGGTAGTTTAACCTTATGTGCAACACTGTTTGAGGTCTCAAAAACAGTTTCTATGCCAAAACACATTCCCATTTCTTTCTTGGCGATAGCTATTCCTTTTTATTTTATTAAATTTTAAATTTAGGCTCTTTATCAGTTCATAAAAAGTTATTCTTCATAAAACTAGAATATCAAGATCATTATTAACAGCAGCCAGAATTTTGGCAATTGTTGGTACTGAAGTGCTGAAATATAAACTATGCACCTTTCTCCAAATGGCAGTTTTAATCTTCAGATCAGTATCACTTACAATTGTTTGTTTCCTTGGGTCTGATTTTATGAGGCAGCTTAACTCACCAGTGGATTTGTATAAATATACTATATCATACATGCTACCAAGTGACACCCTCCAACTCTCCTTGAGAATCTTTCTTTGTGGCAAAAGTTCCAGAACACCCAGTACAACAGTTTTGACTAATGTGGCAGCATTTTATCGCTATCTGTTCAACTTTCATTTATGTCTAGTTTACAGTTATTTTGAATGGAGTTATCATATACAGGCTGGCCTAGAAGTCACTGTCTCCCTACTAAACTTCCCACTGTGGATCTGTACATACATGCCGTGTGCTGTTGTACACCACCATTACCCCACAAATGCTTCAGTGCATGTCACACTGAACATGGTGGTGCATCAGGCTGTGTTTCAAGCATGACAGCGAATATGCAGATACACTTTACGTACAGTGACGTTCATCACCTGGTAGGTTTAAGTAGGGGTATGATGACTCCTTAGCTATGCTTTCCCCATACATAGATTCTGTGACTTCATTTCAACAAGTCTGAATTGCCACATCTTTTATGAGTGTTCAGTGCAACAAGAACAGGGCATCTAAATTAAACTAACATTCCAAAATACTAAATTACCCGTACATTTGCAGGAAAATTGAATTTGACAGTTCAATCAAACATACTCCTAACTTTCTGTTACTTTAGTCTAATCTTGTCTAATCTGATCTTATTTAATCCAATCCAATTTCCTCAGAAATAGAAATATCACGCATCACATTTCATAATGTCTCACACATACACAAAGACACACAGAAGACAAACAAAGACTTTAAAGGACAATTTGAAGGTAAGAAGAGCAAACTTACCTGGCTCTGAGACAACGTAACTGACGTAGCAAGAACCATCTTTTCGGTCCTTGAAGTCTATTCCTGCTTTGCTAGGACCCTCAACAGATATGGCAAGGGAACCAGCTCCTGCCTCACGAGTCCAAACATTGAATTCGCAGGGTTGGCCCTGTTCACCCCGTTCAAGACCTGGACCACCCGCATGCACACGGTGTGCACCCCCGTCTTTAAGAGGACCGACAGTGAACTGGAACGGCGACCCTGCAAATAGTCACATCAAAAACTGATCTGTCTCAATTGCATAACAAATCCCATGATACAGAGTATTCCTTGAATGGTCAACAGGAATATAAATGGTCAAACAATTACTTGCTGCTTTGGAAACAACGTCCATCAGTCATCACAGAACATGACCGAGGCAGTCCAGACTATGTCCTCATGAGCTACTTCCTCAATGTGCAGTTTTGCATTATCTTCCTGTCTATAACTTGGGAGTCTCATTTCTATAAAGTTTTCAACACAGACTGTATATGTCTTGTTTCCCAATAATGCATACAAAATTTTGGTTGTAGTGTATTCAGGAAGGTTACAATGGGCTGGACATGCAGCCCCTACAATTTCTATCAAGAATAATTTCATCACTGAATAAATATCAATCTAATCATATCTAAGTTACCACTGTACTAAAATTAAACATTAACTGATTATCTGTTCATGTACCTGGTATATGCACTTCCTTATATTTAACTGACACTGTGTGAACACCCAGTTCCTTTGGAACAAAGTGAACAGCATACAATCCATCTTCAACCTCATTGATCTCAGCATCCTCAGTCACTCCTCCAGGCGATGTCACCGTGGCAGAAAGGTCAAATGATGTGATTCCTAAAGGGGAGGGGAAAAATAATTTAATAACAAATATACCCAATTTTCACTGTTAAGCATCCTTTTCCAATTATTGTAACAGTTTTACAGCACAGATATAATTCTAAAACATCATTTGAAAGACCTAGATCTTTAGTAACAGTTTTACAGCACAGATATAATTTTAAAACTTCATTTGAAAGACCTACATCTTTTCAAATGCTTAGACTTTCCTGAAACATGCTAACAATATTGTCATCCAAATAAGACAAAAGATTCTCTTTAGTACGAGACCTGCTCAAGAGGTACAATTTTTCACTCATCTGAAGAGCAGTGCCCTACCTTGAATGTACAGCATGTGATTCATTAAGGGATATTATATGCTAAGTCAAAGTCTGTTCACTTGCCTGGCATCTTGAAGGTCAGCTTGCACTCACTGCCAACTTCTGTGATGGGTACAGCTTCTCTTTGACGCTGGATTTTCTCCCGTTGCCTGTTTGAGCCTTCGCCACCAACCTGGTCACACAACGTTTATTTTAGCAGTCATTCTGTTGTATCACTGCAATGTCATAATACTTTCCTGTTGTTGTTTTTTGCCCAACCTCCATTTTGTAGCTGTCTTATATTATGCTTATGAATAGGCTAAAGTGAAGGAAATAAGTCAAAAATGTTTATTATTGGCCAAAACAGATCAGTGCCTACCTTCACAGTGTAGGGTGAACCATCAACATGATGGTCAGCAAACTTGAGATTCACAATGTAGTAACCAGGTTCTGTGGGCTTATATGAGATGTTCAGAGTTCCATCTTCATTATCCTTGCACTGGATCTCTGCCTTGCTAGGACCCTCAATTGAAAGGGATAGACCACCATAACCTGCATTCCAAGAATTAACAGGTGGAGCATATGATCAACATTTAGCAAACAAAGACTTTAATTAGTATGTGCAATAAAATTTTGACAGTTCAAAATTCAAGAACCCAAACTTTTAAACAATTCTTAAGGCATTTCTATGCAAAAAGGTTATAATCTTTCTCAGAAACCTTGGTTATCACCTTTATAAGACAGATTTTGTTTCAGAGAGCTTCATTATACAGAGGTTTTACTTGCTCATTCTATAAAACTTCAATTATCGTAGAGTGTACCACCTTACACATTCCACTCTTTTGTAAAACCCTGGTACCAATTCAAATGTTATACTATATGCATTTAAAAATTATATCCTTTATTTTACATCCACACTTAATTTAGGAAATCCACTGCAAAACAAAACACAGGATTCACTATAATTTGAGATCTTTGAATTCTGTTCCAAAGCTTTCAGCAAAATATAAAGCACAGAGGCATGTTACTTCAGTTCTTCGTTTGTATAACAATAATGTGTGCTGTGACAAATGAATTGGTTACATAGTTCTAAATGATAATTTATGTAATGACTATGAATAACAATTTCAGAAAGATGCAAGAGGAAGCAATTATAGCCTATCTGAAGATATCATCCTTGAATTTTCCTTTAGAGATTGAGAAAAAACAGTAAATCTCATCATGATATTTCAGTGAACAGAAAGAACAGGGAAAATAAATATACTTTAATGACAAACTTGGATGGAAAAGGACTGAAAAGAAAGTGAGCAGAATGAATTTGTCAAGGGAAAATAAATATACTTTAATGACAAAATTGGATGGAAAAGAACTGAAAATAAAGTGAGCAGAATGAATATGTCAGGTCAGGAAGCAACTAATTTGAAAAACACTCTGTGGTTTTATTTTTTCACTTGAATGAAGTAGCATGTAGCTTATGTTTACCGTGTTATATTTTGGATTACTATGAAGAGAAAATATGTGACCTTAAACAGGACACATTGTACACCATAAAATATGTATTAGAATGACCTACCTGCATTTCGGGTGTCCACAGTGAATGTGTTGTCAACATGTGTACTGCCTTCCTTCAGAGCTGATCCTGACACCTTCACCTTCTTGGCATCTCCAACCTCTCTTTCTCCAACATTTATCTTGAAAGGTGAGTTGGCAATGTGTTTACCAAGGCGCTTCACAGACACAGTGTGTTCTCCAACCTCACGTGGAGTAAATGAGATTCCTGAATAACAGAGTGGAAATCAAGCATCAGTAGTCAAGACAGCTTCATGTATTCACTACTAACGAGACAATTCATCACCCAAGTATGTATGCTCTCCCAGCAATGACGATGTCTTAGTTAGTCTTGTCTCCAAAAGATATGCAATCCACGCAAAACCTGGCACAGCTGCACCATTCCTTGCCCTGGGTCTTCCATCCCTCTCAACCAGCCTCTAGTTACAACTACTCACAAAGCAGCAGCACTTCTCATTGTGCATGCCATGTATTGTGTTGTTTTTCACTTCAAGATTTCAAAATGAAATCACAACACAGCACTAGAATACACAGCCACAGAAAGAGTTATGTTAATACGGATGATACTTCTGGGTTTTATTTGTTATAGTATAAAATTTTTAAGCATGTAATCGTCTAGTCATGAGGTCGGGCTTGGGCTATGACCACCCATCAAGGATGAAGTAATGTTTCCGTTTTCAATACATTCACACCTGCACATGTCGCGAAGGGTCAGCGGAATACAGGCCTACATTTATCACTGTCAGCTGTCCTTTTGAAAATTCTACATTCAAGAAGTTCAAAACTTCTTGTAACTGGATACTTTGACATGCCATTGCAGTATTTCACCCCTAGGAGGTCAGCCCCCATTAATTTGGTTTATGCAAAAGTGACCTAGCGTCACAACGCAATCTAAACTGTCACAGTTGGCCTCGGATATTGAACCAACCAATCAGACAAAGGTTATTTTGACTTAGCGGGAAGTCGAACCAATGATGTTACAAAATTCAGATTTTGGAATGAGTGGGAGAAATTAATATATTTGAGAGACAAACTTCTTTTAGGTAGTGATGAGTTGCAGTTGTAAGTTGTTAGTTGTCAGTTATCAGTTGGTATAAGCTTGTCCTCGAATTGTAACAATATAAATTCTTAGTCGGTTATCATGGACGCATATGTGTATTCACTCTACTTTGTTCACAAACAAAATTGCATCATCTGCTAATATCTTGCGGAGGAATTAATTCAACAATCACCTGCAAATAAATACCAAAAGACACAGTTGAGGCGATCTTTAATTTAACCCTGTAAACCCAGCATAAGAGTCTCATGTCTCGTTTTACTCAAGAGCAGAAGAAGAGATGGTTATAAATCGCCGCAGACCCAAGGCCGCCCAAGAGAAGAAGAGAAACGGTTACAAGCTGTTGAGTAAATTCTTGGTGTACTAGAATTCCACTATATCTTGTTTAAAGCAACAATATGGAGTATTAAATTAAAGCAAAGCAGATGTAATATTTCTTCCCAGAAATGTTCATTTAACATTCAAATGTGCATACAATATAAAACCATAAATAGCTTAATATGGAGTTACCAATATTGCCATTTGGAAGCCGTTTCAAGAAGCATGGCTCTTCTAGTCCACTTGGTGCTTGGATTGAGGCATTCAGTGACCTGATGTCTGCATCTGAAACCTTTCCCGGGAATGACACTTCACTGCAGGAGCCAACTGAAATCTGGTTCCTCTTCCTTCCTTCTCCTGTTTAAATGAAGATTTCCTCACTTAATCATGCAACAGAGACTACGCACTTACATCAAGACAACCACAATAACAAACCACTGTTCTCTGCATTGAAAATGTTAGGAACAATGATGAGGATGAACATATATACACAGCAGACTTTTAGCCAAAAAATTGACAAAGTTATCCACACAGAAAACTGTACTGACTTTGACAAATTATGTATGTAAATAACAAAAATTATAATATGTGCGATTCATCACCCTGATGACGGAAGCAGTATGACCTCTGAAACGTTGGTTAACATCGACCATACTACACGGCGCAACAACCCAGAAGACAGAACTCTTCATACTAAGAATCACCCTGATGACGGAGGCAGTATGACCTCTGAAACGTTGGTAAACATCGACCAGACTACACATCACAACAACCCAGAAGACGGAAATCTTCATACTCACCGCTGTAAAAACCTCAGATCTTACAAGTTAAATGATGATGCCTGATGATGGTAATATGAGTCAAACATGCGACATGAGATATTTATACACTAATTTTTGTGGTGTGAACGACATACATACGATATAGAAGCTTTGATTGGATAAACTTGCATATAACCAGTAATTGTCTTCAAAAACACATTCAATTTTTTTCTCCTGTGTCTATTCACCAAAGCTATGGAAATTTACATGAAAGTTATAAGCACCAAAAGGATATATGTACAAATAACTCACATATCTGAAGAGCTGATTTAGTGCAAATTTACACGACATAGACACTAAAAACTTACCTGTTATCTTCGCATTGTAAGGACTGCCTTTAATATGCTTGTCACCAAACTTGACAGAGATTTTGTATTCTCCAGGGGCTGTTGGCAAATATGATACTGATACTGTACCATCTTTGTTGTCATGGCAGCTGATCTCTGCTTTGCTTGGACCTTCAACTGCCAGGGACAAACCACCTAAAAAAAGTAAAAAAAATTTTCTGGCAACCACATCCCAAGAAACAGCAACATATTTCAGTACTCTAGATCACTGATTCCAAACTTATTTCTATAAAATCCTGGGGTTCCAATAATTTCATAATCGTCAATTTTAATATAAAATAAGCAAACAAACAAACTATTAACACTATAAAAAAGACACTAGTGTCATTTGCGTTTCAACCTCAAGAGGTCATCATCAGTGGCAACGAAAATTAGTTCATTTAATCGAAATGGTTTAAAATTGGTCTAAATATGGTTTAGACCAATTTTAAACCATTTTGATTAAATGAATTAATTTCCCTGTTGCCACTGATGATGACCTCTTGAGGTTGAAACGTGTATGGCACTAGTGTCTTTTTTATAATGTTTAATAGTTCGTTTGTTTGCTTATTTTATATTCTAATACAATACACGGTATGCAAAGTTTTAAGGTCAATTTTCAATTAAAAGGGCCCCATATCACCCCTCTGTCCTCAACACCTTCAATGTATATTCTTCCCGGAGTATAAGGAAGTTTCAAACACATAAAAATTACAGGCCTGAGTGTGTGTATTTATATATTAGGCTCTTTTTCCTTCATATATGGCCTATACAAATCTCACTGAAACTAACACTATTCTTTATAATATGGGTCACTAACAGATGGAGAATAATGACAACTGTGAAATCTATTATGTCATAAAAGAGTGTTAAATATTTTGAATGTGCTAATAGGTACCTGCTCCTGCCCCCTTCGTTGAGATAGTAAAGTTGGACGGTTCACCGCAAACACCATGAGTAAGACCTGGTCCATATGCCGTCACATAGCCACTACTGAGGGAATCCACATGAAACTTGAATGGTGAACCTATTACAAACATAAGCATTAAGATATTTTAAAATGTCCAACAATATTTTTCTTATTTGCGTATGTACCACAAAATATAACAATATGTGTCTGTGACTTGTGTTCTCATTCTTTAACCATAACATCCTACTGCGCACAGAGACACATTTTTATCACATAAATTAAATAAGTATAAAAAAATTAATGTGGATGCCTGAAATGACTTCAAGACCACACACTCTCTTCTGTCTAAATGTGCACTAGTACAAGTACTCAACAAAAGGCAGAGTGAAGATAAAGGAAGAAAGATGACTGACAAGCCATAAAAAAGGCAACTTCCAAGAGAGTCTAGGTGGCATCCATTGCAACCCAGAACACCACAATTAACGCCTTCATCATCATGAAAACCTCAACAGAAGCAGATATGCTTACTTGGTTTCGCCATTTGAAGTGAATGGTAACAGACCACATTTGTCCACTCTCAAACACTTGGGAAGGTTCAACTCACCTTGAACATGTTCCCCATTGTATTTCACTGAGAGTTCATGCAGGCCTTCTTCTCTTGGCTCGTACTTGACACTTACTGTCCCATCCCGGTTGTCTTCAATGATTGGCTTATCTATGTTTCCACTTGGCATTTTTATTTCAGCTGCAAAATAAAGCAGTCATAAGTTGGATAGTGCATACAACAGCGTTAAAATACAAATATGTATTATGGCCGTTTGTAAACTAAAATCACATACCAAAATGGATAATAACTGAATCCAGTAATTGTAAATTCCCCCTCCGAAGTCTCACAAAATAGTAAATTTTAAACTCATCTTTATATTAATGATTTATGCTGCTCTGTTTGTAGCAGATTATTCATCTATTTTTCAGGCCAATTGGTTTCTACCTAATATGAGAGTTTATTATATCATATGATGTCATTTCTCAGAGAAACAAATCTTAAAATAATGACGAATTACAACCCTTTCACAAACAAATAATGACTTAGCTAATCAGAATTAAAGTGGTTTTTGTCAACAAAGTTAAAGGAGTGTCGAATTTTTTTTTACAATTTTTCACCGTAATAAATTGCAGCACAAGCTGTTCTGATTGCCCTGATGATAGAGGCAGCAAGGGCCTCTGAAACGCTGGTAAACTTTTACCACTCCACAACGGTGGCCGTAGCGATACGCACTATCGAATGACGCACGCATACTATGGGACACAGATGACCTAAGTTGTCGAATGTCGTCCATCTCCTCAATTTTATGACTAATGTACTATGTTTCCTTCGGTCTGACAAATGTGCTACGTTTACGAGCTGATAAACATCCAATGACCATCAACGTCCATTTTTTTAAGTTTTAGACAAGAGCCAAGTAGCCTTAGGATGCTATAGTTCCTCTAAGCACATTAAACAAAAGAAGATTTTCATTCGGATTTTTATTAGAAAACAATAAATGGATGAAAAAACTGTCTGAATTTATTTTGCGTCTTTCAAAACAAGTATGAAATGTAACGGCAGAGTGATAAGTATTACTGCCTCATATTCGGGTGGTCAAGGGTTAAAATTTAGCCGGACACACGCTATCCTGACTAGTTCTCGGGGATTTCTTCAGTCTCTATGGGCAAATTCCGGTGATTCATCACACTGATGATGGAGGTAGTAAGCTCCTCTGAAACGTCTCTCAATATCAACCATACTACACAGTGCTACAACACTGAGACCCTCTTGCAATTACTGTATGATACAATCTTCCCACATTAATGCCAGCTTCACAGACTGAGTGTGTTACTTTTACTCTGGAACATTAAGCATCATGTGTCTCATCTGTTTAGGTAGGGATAACAGAAAATATACTGTGACATCACTGCAAGCCGTTGGCAAAAACAGTAATTACTTCGTTCCTCCTAACTTACCCCAGTCTGAAGCAACCCAACCCATAATCCCGTCGAAATTTATTTTCCTTTTTAAATCATAGTTATTTTGGGACGATGGTCTTATGTAGGCCTACTAATGCTCCACGGGCCATATTTCTTACTTTTACTGACAGTTGCAGGACGCCCTCTTTGACTAGCTAGCTAATGAATGGGGGACCAATGCTTGCATTAAAACTGTCAAATTTAAAAAAAAAAATAATCAAGAGATTTTGCTTTACTTAAATCGCTACACATGACGAAAGCATTATCAAAGTTTAAATTTAGTACACTGGGTTAAAGGAGGACACAAACCTGTCCTCAGCAAAGTGCAAATGAACTCATCAGAAATTACAACACCAGACGAAATGGAACTATCATCTCCGTAAGGCAAAAATATATCAACAAAAAAGGGTTATCGATTTACACATCGGGGGTTGTTTAAACAAGACTAAAAAGTGGGGGATCTTTTTTTAAGGGATCGTGATACGCCTCGGAGCTTCTGATTAAGAGCGCTCCATGTCATTCTTGGTTTCTTTCCTCCATGTCAAATGCCAAAAAAGTTAACTCCTTGTTCGCGACTTGCCAAGACAATTCTACCCTGACTGAAGTTTTGCCTTCCTCAGTCCCTCCAATTGAGTATCGATGCAATGCACTGAAGTAAGCCACGACCGCTTTTCGCTGGTGTCCACGGAGGACACAACTCTGCAGCTGATACAGCGTCGTTAGTAACATACGAATCGATTAACCGATAAAACGTATGCCTTTAACACGTGTCTCCTTCAAGTACAAGTTTTCACCCATCACCATCTCCAAAAACAGTGGTTCTTCTGGGTTGGTGCACCGTGTAGTCTGGTAGAAGTTTACCGACGTTTCAGAGGAGTTAGTTGCCTCCATCAGGGGGATACCTCCGAAACGTAGGCATATTTTACAAGACTACATGGCGCAACAACTTAGAACACGTCCATCTTCATTCTCGCCGCCATGAGAACCTAAAATCTCACTACACTGTTGCGTTTTAACACCTGTTAATGAACGACGCGCAGGCCTAACACCAGAATTAAAAAGACTATACAGCCAATTTTCATTTCACTAGTAGAAGAAATAATAACTTTATTAAAGAGTTCATAGTGCGTGAAATATAATATTATGTCAATATTTTCCAATACCATGCACCTAGTAAAGTCTATGGAATAAAAGAATAAGTTCAGTTCCCCTGAACACCTTGCAATTGGTCAGCAGTTTGCACAAAACACTGCATGAATGCGAAGGTATTTTTTATTACAGTCGCCTGGATTTCTCAGTTGAGAGTAAAAGACGCAAACCGCTTCAAATTTTCAGGCAACGTGTTTCAACTTGATATCTGCAACTACGTGGCAAGAAAACTGTTCTGGTAAGCACTCCGTTGGGCGCCCTCGTAAACTTATTGCTATGAATAAGGTGTGATGAAAACAGATTAACGGGAGGAATGTTTGGTTATCGTCATGCTGACATCCAAGTGTTTGGTTAACCCTTCTCGTGCTGAGACTTCCAGCAGGAAGTAGTATCTTTTTGTTTTACACTTGCATGCTAGCTTGAAAATTCATTTTGTCGGATGCTACAAATTGTAAGCTTAAGAATGTCAGGGAATAGGTTTGTTCTCATGTCACACAAATCGATATATCTTGTTCGTGGCATTTACAGTGTCAATATATGCCCTCATACATTTACCCCAGTAAAGTGACAATCTACGGAGTGGACGGCTGGGAGCAGATTCCTAAGGGCAAAGATGTCTGTTCTGGGATGCTGGCCGTGTACTCTTGTATAAATTTGCCGACCCTTCACAGGTGCTTAATGCTTCCATCATCAGGAAGATTACACGGCTCAATATCCCAAAAGACAGCCATCTTCATAAACGTCGCCGTGAAAAAATGAAATCTCGCCCATGTAGGGCGTTTAGATTTCTCTCGCCCACGTCTACACGGGCGCTGGGACCATCGATTAACTGCGTATCGAAGGCGTGAAAATGGCAACAGGCCACTCACATCTGTGTAATGGCAATGTTATACAATGATTCATGTTGTGAACACCATGCAGGCTGCCTGCTCACGCTATTAGAGATTCTAACTCTTACAACGCACACTACTTCCAACTGTAAGTCAGGCTTAGGTAGGCAAGATGGTGGTTCCACGCATTCTGTTCATCGGAAGAAGGGAAATGAGTGAACAGCATCACGCTCCGACCACTTTAAACCACCGAAAAATCCTCCGGTACTTATTATATAAATAACAGAATGACCCCTGTCGAGAATTGAACTCATCGTAACTAAAACATTTCGCAGTAAATTCGTAGGCACATTTGTAATCTATCACTACATAAAAAGTGGCTTCGGAATTTCACAAAAATAAGTTTTTAGTTAAAGTGTCGAGATTGATTAGGCCTGTTTTATTGGTTTAATTTGGTTTCAATTTGTTTCTTATGTAATTTTAGTGGTGTTTTATATTTCTACCAGTGTTTGTAACAGGCACACTGCAACAAAGGAACTGAACTGAATTTAATTACTGTTAAACCTACTAACATAATCGTTACAATAATAGGATATATAAGGCCTGTATCAGGAAGTACTAGGATCAGAATGTTTATACAACCTAAAAAAATTTTAAAGGCCACTGAAACAATCGTTTGTCACAAGGTTTTTTTATTTGATCAGCTTAATTTAAGTCACTATCAACCGCTGAAATTTGTGCACTGCCGAGTAATTGTAAGTTCACTGTAAATTATAAACTGGGAAGGATGTGGAAGGAAGCAATCGTGGTCTACTTGAAGATAGGTCTACTGTCCTAGCGTTTGCCTATAAGAACTGACACATTCTACATCCTCTTCAGTCAGGATGGCCTATCCGCGGCCTACAGTCTGTATCACCGTTGCGCTAACCCGCTGGGAACAAAGCAGTGTCATGAGGGACTGTTCCGTTTCACCAAGAGTCGTACGTAACTCGGCACGCAGTAAAACTGCATTCCAGTTCGACAGGCTCCCATCCATACCATCTTTCAATAAGTGCCATAAATCAGATGCAAGAATTTGGCCGCGGTCCAAACACGCGGTTCAGTGTCTGCACCAGAACTGGCTACAGGAATTCAGGCGCAGGGCAGTCACGTGGATTCTGGTGTGACTCCAGAAGACATGCAAGCTCTTACTGGGTCACACAATCTTTTTATCTAAACGACAAGAGTGTAAGCCTCAATCAGCTGGCTAACAAGGCCTGGATGCCAGCAGCTGGCTAAAATTGTACTTTACCTTATCGGTTTTGCTGTGTGTGACTTCCACTAAACCACGAAAGAAAAGAGACTGTTTGCTTTTGTAGTCGGAAATTCGCAAAATCCAAACAATCTCAAAAAGTAAATTTTACCAAGGACCAAGAAGCCTAATTTACCCAGCAGACATCACTTCGTTTGCGGACCAAAAAATGCCTTAAGCCTACAAAACAAATCATCTGACGGATAAGCTTTGATCATGGTCCTGCAACTCGCTTGTCTAAGTCATCACTCAACTCCAAATCTCAGACATTGCGTTGTGTACACATGCTGAAAGTCTGATACTGAAAACTGCGAGTGACGAGACCAAGGTATGACGCTATACACGCCAAATTAATTAATTCACGAAAGTTACCAGGCCGGACATTCGTAGTGTGTTGTCGTTTATTGCAATTGTCTGCAACCCTTTTTGTCCTTTGGATACTACGAACGAGATACATCGTTTAGGAAA